GTTACACATCGTTTCACGCGTGTTACTCCTTGTTACTTTTTTTTTTTTTTTACTTTTTTTTTCAAATACTCTGACTTCCATATTCATTCTATGCTACCAATAGCTTTTCACCCTTTGCCATCATGCGTTCACACTCAAACTTTCGCCGTTTGGCCAGACCTATGTAGAATATTCTGGACACCACTAGAGAGTTCTATTGTAATCTCCACTGGGTGGTAAAAGAACCCAACATTCTATCAGCGAGGTTTGACTTTCTTTACCTTTATTCTGAAGCAGAATAATTGGCCGCTCACCTGTCTGGAGAAAAAGACTAGAAGAAGGCCAAAAGGTCAGAAAAGATAGTTTTAGGATGAACAGCACATGGAGGTTGAAACGTGTCGAAATTCAAAGGGTCTTCGGGTCATTAACAAGTATTTCAGAAAGAAAAACACATCGTTTCACAGTGTGAATGCAAATGTCTTGGGACACATTACCGTCCTGGCATTCTCCTCACGGGTGAACTCTGTACTCACTGATGCATCAGCTTTATCTTCAGCCAAGAATTTTTATTTCCAATGTGATCAACTAGGAAAAGATCTCATCATGCACAAATGGGTTTGCCCAAGCCATCTTAAGGAAATAGTTGTAAGTGTTGTAACATAATTGTGTCTTTATTTCTGCTCAAATTTGCAGTGGAAATGATTTACTGCATTCTGATACTTAAAAAAAAACTTTGGTCTCAGTAAATAAAAATGCCGGCTCCATGATGTATACGAACCGGAACTTTAAATTAATTTGTAATGTTTTTAAAAATGGCAGCTAAAGTTTCTTTTATTCTTATTTTTTCATGAAGTTGATGGGATTGTAAAGTGTTGCATCACTTGATGTACTTGCTCAGAGTTTGTAGGTGTCTGTTAGAGAAGCAAAGTTTAGCTGTTATGAAAAGGTGCCAGCTCTCACATTATCTAGTGATAAAAAAATAAAACAAACTTCCTACCGCTGGTTTTCCTTCTACAAACGGGCGCTGGTGCAGGCTGGGCTAATCGGCCTCATCAGCAGCGCGTGGGCGGCTGTTTGATCAGATTTCACTGACAGCTGCCTGCAACACGAGCAAACAACCCAACAACTGCCATGAGGCTGCAATTTAAACGTTACCTAAGGTTCATTGGTTCCTGGAAACAAATGGCCTTCCTCTCCCCGAGGTAGGCCCTCGACAAACTGATGGGAACGGCACAGGACAATAGATTATTCCCCCATTGTTTTATGAAAACATTGTCTCTCTTGTTTTTTAATTTAAAAAAATGGTGACACGAGTTGGCAAAGGCTTTGAAATATTGTTATCATGCTTTATTTAGTCACAGATCGATAAAGTGAGACGATAAAGAACATTCAGTGTACCGTCTCACTGCTTCTGCTTGGAAACCAGAAGCTGAACCTTTATCTCAGATGCAGGCCGTGAGAGTGGACGGTGGTTTCCTCGTCTTCATCTGCTCAGATATTTGCAGAGGGTTTTTTTTTTTTTTTTTTTGTTTTACAGTTAAGCTGAGTCATCAGAGTAACTCTCGGTCGATCCCTTCGGTTTGGCCAAATCTTCCAAACTCAACATTTTGCGAGCAATTTTGTTAGATAGTTTCCATCTGCAAATTTTGACCTTGTGGTTTGTTTTTTGTGCGTTTTGTTTGTTTGTGTGATGGCTGTTCCCTTAACAAAAGTGGCTGACGAGCTTCTTCGTTGCAAGTTCTGCGTCGAGGCACGCAGCAGTTGACGCGTTGACAAATTTAGACATTTGTGTGCCTTTACGGCCTTTTTAAAAAAAAAGTTGGATCCTTTTATCTTCATGGTGGGTTTCCAGAACATTTGTCACCCACATCCTGCCCTGACAGCCCACCCCAGCTCCCGGCCCTGTATCAGACACAACACAGCCAGCCGCCCACGCTCCGCCGTGGCACAACTTTCCCGTTTCAACACTTTTTTTTCTGCTGAACTCTTGCCTAAGATCGGCGTCCGTGGCCCCGTCTGGCGTCCATCCTCCGTGTGGTAAAGCGTTCAGCCCGCCATCCGACTGCTTCCTCGTTTTTAAGCAACAGGAAGACAGTAAACCATTAATCTAACGAGAGGCAGATCAGAAACTGTGACGCACACGCCGTGCTTGAGAAAGACTATTCTGGTCTGAGCTGTTTCACCACAGAGACTCAGTTTGGGCCTGTAGGCCCTGCTGCTTCCTCTTCTCAAAGATCCTTTTTTTTTTTCTACACCGGCAGACGATAACAGGACTCTGTCAGCATGGATGTCTTGTTTGCCAGCTTTGCCCTCAGCAGTCCCAACCTCAGATGCATTCTTTAATCATTTCTGGTCCTTCCCTCAAACAAAACCGGCTCAGTGAAAACATGGTTTGTAGATTATCTAACTCCAGTGCGGGTGCTGGGGGGCCCAGAATGGAGATAAGTAAATCTTTCTCCCAAAGAAAATGCCTGTTTTTAGCAGCATTTCTGAATCTATAATTGGCTTGGGGTAAATGAGTAAAGAGACGCATGCCTTTATCAGGCAGCCGCTGAGTGGCTGGATCTCAAATCTATGACGCAAAGTTCACAAGTATTGTGAATTTTACCTTAGAAGTCTAACGGCTCAGATCAGGGCCGATCGTCCCTGTATTGGTCAGAGCATGACTTAATGGGTACTTCTCACCCTTACATCATGCCACGTATTTGTCTGTCGTGGGTCAGCAACATTAATCTTAGTCTCAGTGAGAAAAGGGCACAGAAGGGAGATTTCATTCTGAAATCAGAGCCAGTGAGGGACTTTTTTAAACAGGCCTGATGTGACTTGGCAGCATAAAGGATGTGGATGACTCTAATCTTGCTGGGACCTTCTTCACTGTCAATTATTCCGTCCTCTTATGGGACAGAAAAAGCCCCAATTTGGCTGCACTTATATCTGCCTTGGCCGAGGTCTAGACATTTGGATGACCAATCCCAAAAACCAGATGATAACTGCTTCCTTCACTACAGAACCAGCTTTGAGATGTTGGGTTCGTTTGCGTTTCAGATAATGGATTCTTCCTTCTTTGTTATGTCCACTTTGTGTGATTACAATAGTTTCAGCGCATGGTGCTCCCACCTCCATGCTTAACAGCTGCTGTAGTTTTTTTGGTTGTCTTTCACTCTTAGTTGCTTCTTATCATCAGAAATAAGAGGCCTTTGACCTCCTCTAAAGGGGGGCTGTTGTCAGTCATACTTCCAAATGTAGGAAAAATGCAGACCCCTTTAAAACGTCACCAGTACGGGGACATTTCGGTCGGGTTCGAACTCATTATTCTGTACGTCCATGCATGGGAAGAGGGTTTTGTTTTAATGGTGTCATCTCTCACCATTCACGAAAACCATTTCCTCTCATTCTCAAATAGCAGAATGCAATCCTGTTTGAAAAAAAAAAAGAACGGACCCAAAATGTAGCGTTGAACTTGCTCCCAGGCAAACTGGACTGAGTTTGAACACCGCCATTAAACAGAAACAGACGAGGAGAAGCCCAGGCAGCCTCTTCCAGCCCAGTGGCGCACGCACTAATTTGCCACTTAGCCTTTAATTCAGCTGTGTTACTTTAACGGTCGGGGGGTGTGGGGTGTGTGTGTGTGTGTGACATGTTTGCAACAGTAACCACACGTTTGTGCCGACCTCCTGCGGTTGCTAACTGCTGAGCATCAGCTGGGCCCTCTTTGTTTGGCCCCTCTTGTCTGTGTGAAATGGGCCTTTCACGCATCGTTTCCAGAGCTGCCGTCGTCCGGACTAATTGGCCCCTTGTTACGCAGGCGGCCCGCTTTTTCTGTAAAACTCCATCTTCTGAGCACCAGCGAGCACGCATAACAATCCTTTAGATCAGTGTCCTTTCCACCAACAAGCCCCCCCCCCCCCCCCCCCCTCTCCCCCTCCATCACAACAATCTGAAGAGAGCTCCAAGAGGGCCCGGCTCCAAACACATGGCCGCATACCAGGGCTGGCCATCGCCGGTGCGTCTGCGCGTGAGCGGCGGCGGACAAAAGGGATCATGGCCGCAGAGTGGCCACGGTGACCTCACGGGTCAGCCGGCAGCCAGGAATGAAAAGACTCCGCGTAACCCCCCACCCGCCGCGCACACAGAGAGAGGTCTCGGGACAACTGAGGCTGCCATGGGAATCCGGCGGCGTGGAAGAAGAGCAATCGGCACTGGCCCGCAGGAGCTGAAAGAAAGCGGTTGCGTTTGGAATTTTAGGTCATGGTTTTCCTTGCGCATTCCTCAACTCTCTCCCAACAATAAAGCGTGTCAAGGGCCGATACAACAGCCTCCATTCTGGGGGCTTTGCACGGAGAAAAAAAAAAGAAGAAGCCCAGAAGCACCCAGAGCCACATGTTTAACCTCGGAGAAGCTTGGGTGATAGCGTTCTGGAATTAAGGAAGAGTTGTGGAACTAAAGAGGCGTACTATAATCAAGCATCACATGAAATAGAGGCATCCCCATCAGATAAAAAGGACTGCCCGAGCACTCAGGGTCAGGGAGCTAATTTTAATTCGGCTGCCGTAAACGGCTGCTGCTGGTGGAAGGAAGAAAAAAAACAAAACAACTTTCTTTACACGCAATAGTGAAAATGAGGAGCGCTCCATCTTGAAATGCCACATTTTTTATTCTCAGGGCCGTTCAGTTGGTGGAAAAATAAAGCGGGATCTGAATCATCCCGAGGTGACGGCGAGCTTGGCTCTTTCCCGGTAACGGCTTCAGAGGGGCTTTCTCTGCAGCCGTCACAAATAAAAAGTGTTTTTATACAGAAAAAAAACAAACAAACAAAAAAATATTTTCCTTCATTTAGAGCAGAAAAAAAACACGTAAAAAATAAATAAATAACTTAAAAATCTAGACAAAGCAGAAAGTACTGTGAAACACTGACAGTTCTTTGGCCCATGGGCTTTGGTCCCAGACTCCTGGCTCTTTGGGGGTGACTTTCTTTGGTAGTTTGGTCCGGCAGTCCCTGGGGCTCTGGGTCCGCTGGCTGCTCAGAGCTTACTCTCCTCCTCCTCCAGGGGTCGGTTCAGGCCGGGGATGAACTTGAGGATGCGCCTGCGGAAGCTCTTCTGCTTGGGCTTCCTCTGCAGCGAGCCGGGCTTCTCCCCGCTGCTCTGCGAGGACGAGCCCCTCACGTAGCTGCGGGTGCTGGCGCTGCGGGTCAGGTGGGTCTTGGCCGTGGCGAAGAGCTCGCTGGCGGGCCGGAGGCGCTGCGGCCTCTGCGCCGGCGTCTCTTTGGGCTCCTCGGCGGCGGCGTGGGGCTGGAACAGGCAGGTCTGGTACAGGGGCTCGTCCTCCGTGGCCGTGCTCAGCAGGCTGGCACTGCTGCTGGTGCTGGTGCTGCAGCGCAGCGCCCGGCGGGCCGCGGGGCTGGGAGCGCCCAGGCTGCCGTACACGCCCGCACACTCCAGGGACTCGTACACCGCCGCGTCGCTCATCACGATGCCTGGAGGGAGGGAGGGGGCACAGCGGCCCTTTGATTACCACTATCAACATTAGTTTTCAGCTACACAATCCCGTGGCGCCCTGCTTTGGATGGACCACTAACAGCTCGTCCAGATGAAGCCGTGCTCAAAAGCTGAGGGGCAGTAATAGCCAAAAACAGTGTAAAGTCATTCGGATCATGTGATGCTACCGTTCAAATCCCATTCATTATAGTTGAATGGGTGACCCTAACCCTAACAAAAAAACAGCAGTCAGTCCGTCCTTTTTGTCATGCATTTTGGAGACAAACACCGTGACCTACCGTGAACAAGTCTCTGCTCCTGCACCATCAACGAGCGATACTCGTCCCACTTCTCATGAAGAGTTTGCTGAAAGGCAAAGCGGGAGACTTATTAGCTGTCCGACAGGGATCGTGGTGGCAGGCTTTAGCCCCCACATCCTCTCCGTCTCTAGCAGCGACAGAAAGCGGGCGGCTGGTTTTTAGAGTGATGGATCATCAGAGTCTGTGTGGAGGTGGATTACTGCGGGGTGGGCAGCTGCTCTAATGTTTGGGGAGAGCTTCACGGGTTCAGAATGCCTGCGGCGGCCAGCTGCTGCTGAACAGGTGGAGCTGCTGGGGGGACAGGTGTGGAGGGATGGGGGGGTGGGGCTTTTTCTATGTCTGGGATGTATCGGTGTGTGCACGTACAAGGCTGCTGATGCACAAAGGGGCCGACTCGCTCTTAACAACGGCAAAAAGCTACATCTCACCTTCAGAAACTGCAGCCGGGCCTCCAGCTCGGCTTTTCGAATCGAGTCGCTGTAAACCGTCTCCAGCCTGCAAGAGAAAAAACAAAAACAAAACAGAAGGCCACAGAGTTAATATCAAGCTCAACAGCAAGTACTTGTAAAAACTACAAGGGCAGAAAACAGCAGGAAATACAAGTGGCCCACATAAAAAGGCTCTTTCCATAAACCAGGACCGGGCCTGGTGTGGAGCGGCAGTTTATGAGCGGGGGGGGGGGGCAGATAAACTGCCACTGTTTCCACTCTGCGCCACTTCATCCCTTTGACTCGGGGGGTTTGAATGGCAATCTGCAGAACTGGTTACACTCCGGCGGCTTCTGAGTAGTCGGGTGAACTAAGCGATCCCTCAATGGCGTCTGATGCGGTTCTTTTAGCCGCTTTTAGTGGCGGATCCGAAAAGCTCAAAAGTGGGGCTGCGCTAATTGTCCTTTTAATCTTTTACAAGCAGAGACGGAGGCCGCGGAAAAAAGGGAGCACGACTCGCATGAAACACCCACTCAGCAAAGTGACTCAGGCCAAAGAAGATATATGCGGCTTTTAAAGCCAAAATACAGAGGGACTTTGACAGCATTACCTCCTGTTTAAAAGGAAAGGCACAGCTTATGGCATTTACTATGATGATGGATTGCTTTGCAGCACAGGCTGGAGTCTACTGTCTCAGAGGCAACTGTAAACTGTCATAAAGCTCCTGATAAAGATCGTTACATCATCTTCCTGTCACCTCGAACAGAACTCAGGTTTGCTACAGAGCAGAGGCGTAGCACAGTGGCCGTCAGCCCTCAAATTAATAACTGGATGAATTTTCGTCAGGTTCTGTCCTCTGTTCTAAATTAAAAAAAAGATGATGCCGTCTTGATAGCAAGATGAACCGACTTCCTGCTTTAGTTCAGATGTTAAATATTACTGCAAACGATGACATTTTGTTCTGCTGAAAAAAACTAATCAGTGTTCCATCTGATTTGATGAGGAAAGCATAAAAAAAGGAAGAGGACCAAAAAAAAAAAGAAGCTACTTTATGTTCTGGCCAAAAACAGGAAACACTGCAGATCAGCTTTTTTTTTTTTACCCCAAATTTCCATCCGAAACTCAAAGAATGAGAAGGTCCTGGCTCAGCTTTCCAAACTGACACATTAACTGCCCTTAGTGAGACACTCTTGAAATAGCCTAATTTTGACATTCGATGAGTCTTTTTTTGTTTTGCTCCCAATCCTCCCTGTTTTGAGTTTGAAATGCCATCCGGCGGGTGAACCCTTTGTTTACATCTGAAAACATTCCCTCCTTTTGAACTGGCTTACCTGAGGGTGTTGCCACAGGCCCTGATGAGCTGAACAATGTCCTTGTGTCGATACCCCTCCACAGTGGCCTCATTCACACTGGCTATGGTGTCCCCTGCACACACATAAACACACACAAACATAAACAACTCGTGTTCTTTGAGCTCAGAATGCTTCCATCCATTGTGTCTCAAACTGTTTAAAAAGGCGGGGCGTGTTGGACTCCAACCCAAAGCTCAGCGTGTGGAGCACTAACGTGCAGTGCTGGTGCCCTGCGCTGCGTTTCGCTGGCTCCTCGTGTGAAAGGAAACGGGTCATTTGTTTGGGGTTTGAGTTTTATCTGCCAGAGTCACGCCAGTTCTCTTTAAGCTGAGCGGGGCGGTGGAACATGCTGAAGACTTTGGAACGTGACAGCGGCCTTTGTGCGGCTTTGTAAGCCTGCCGCCAACCCCCCCCCACCTCTCATTCAGGAACCATAGCAGTGAGGTCATTGTGTTCACAGCAAGACGCCGCGGACAATAGAGCTAGCATGCGAGGAATGTAGGAAGCGAAACCGAGGTGAAGTGGAGCTGGAGGCAGAGCGGAGATGATCGCCTTCCCTCGTTTTTCTGACTGACAGAGTGAATCTTTGGAGCTGAGCTGTCTGAGTGCGAGTTTCCCAACATGAGATGTTTACAGAAGTAACAGTGGAGCAAAGTGGAGCTGTGGGCTACTTCTGGTCAATGACAACAGAAAAAAGAGTGTTATTTCTCTTTGTCCTTCCCCGATCCTTTTATGGTAAGAACATCAACATTCAAGCTGGTCTATGGAAAAAGCAACCACCCCCCTACAAAAAATAAATAAATAAAAAGGAAGTAAGATATATTTGTCTTATGAAAAATCTTTTTGGAGTAAGCGGTTAATAAATAGGGGCTGAAACCGACACTCATCAACTGGAAAAACAAGTGGGCGTACGGTCTAATCTGTACTTCCCTCGATGGCTGAAGAGCGTGCCGAAACTCATGAGTGATTTTTTTTTTACACATGCAGCTGAGTGTCAGCTGGCATACAAGAAGCAGGAGGTGTAAAAAACCAAAACAAGGTGTAGCACCCCCCCCCCCATAGTTGTTTGAATGCTTTCCAGGTTATTTGGGGCATAGTCAGGCCTCAGGCAACGAGAAGAAGAATATTTGCTCACCAACTTTAAGTCCGGCTTGTTGGGCGGGGCTGTCCTCATGCACCTTGCACACAAACGTGCACATCTCCACAGAGTTTTGGTCCTGATGGTGGAGGCCATAAGTCTGAAAGAAGCAGAGAGATCGTGCTGAGCAAAATAAGACCAGATGTCAGAATGACCTCACACAGTGTGACTGACGGCTGCTGTTGTCAAAATGGTCATGATGCAACACAGAAAAACCACTGAATGACATTCAGAGGAAGGAACAGAGACTGTATCAGGAACCATGAGGAGACGTGACGTTAACAAGAAAACCAAAACTTTTCCCCCCTCTTTACAAAAACAAAAACAAAAAATCAACTGGTGGCAATTTACATCAAAGTTAACACAAATTAATGAGAAGCTGCGATCAGCTACAATCATATAAGTTTCTGCCCGTTTTCTTGATTCTTTTACAGATTTTACCAGAACAATACATACAAGACTAACAGACTAGTTTCTTAATCAAAAGCAAAGTACGTTTGACCAGTATTACAGCTATAAATATAAAAGATTTCAAAATGACAAAAAGTGATCCACTTTTTGTTCAGGATGCACAGCAGGCCCATGTGCGGTTTTATTGTGCACATTCAGATGGCGACTTGTGATCACTTGCTTGCTTTGGTTCGTTTTACTTATCTAAATGTGGGAGCTTCCTCACAGACCAAATGTTTTGTTGTCACGGAGACCCGATTTAGTTACTTCCACATGCATTCGCACGCTATTCCTTGTTTCAGCCACCACGGCGGCTCACACTGTGGGGGGACTACTACTGCGCTTAAACCAACACACTAATTTAAACCTTTTTGCTGCTCGAGTCAAATCCACCGATAGAAAAATAGCTCAAATCTTTGTGGCTGAACATTTAGAACTATTCACATGTGCCCATGTCAATTTAAATAACTTTTTTTCTTATTTTTTTTAGTCACACAGCTGCTCACCTGCCTCTCAGCAGACTGAAAGACAAACAAGTAGCCATGCAAATATCATCGAAAGGCAAATATCACATTTACATGCTGGCTGGCTCCATACGCACACTACAGGAACTGGGGGAGGAAAAGCACAAGGAAACACAAGACTCCACATTCGGGTCTGTCACCACTGACCATCAAACTGCTCCTCATGGCCTGGCTTCCTTCTGGCCAAGGCAGGCAGGAAGGGCGGGAACGCCTAACCAAAGCGTAAATAGAACACTGTGTCTTTTCCTAGAAGAAATACTTTAACTGAACACCATAGTGTAACATTACCCTTGCCATACTTGCACGCTTTAAACGTTTTTTTTAAACTATTTGGGGAATGGGCTCAGACCCTGTGAGATGGAGAGAGACTGTGTGAATGTCTGCAGGCTGCGTGGGGATTACATGGACAGCTATTACAGAGAGGGGTGTGAGTAAACCACGTGGCCTAATGTACACATTCTGGGTGGGAGAAAGAAAAAGCCTTTTCCTCCTCCCTGGATTTACAGGATCAAGAGAAAAGGAAACATTTGACTGATGAGTGACCTTCCTGCCGGTGCTCGGACTAAAGAGGAAAGGATGTGCACGTCACTGCCACCTAAAAGGAGATCATCCCCTCCCAGAAATACGGCAAATCATGAAACTCCTGCTAAATGGCCCTGGAGAAGCTCTAAAAGCATCCACATGTCACAGTACAACTTCTTACCTGAATCTCAAAACCAAATGTCTCCTCTTCGCTTTTCTCCAGAACCACCACCTTCCTGAAAACAGAAAAACAGACAGACGGCTTCTTTTATATTTCTGTTCCATAATAGACTCACGTGTCCGTCAGTCTGCCTTTATTTGGACAACTGGTTAGCAGTTGTCAAGCAAAACTGACCGAACCAGCTTTTCTTGTCTGAAACGTTCTCTTTGCTCATTTTGGGCTTGTGAATCTTTGATTGTGATGTTTACGGGAATGGACAAAAAAATTGATGAATCATTCAATAAACAAAGTTAGCAGAGTTACTTAATAACTAAAAATAATAACAGCTTACCCATATCCTAAATTCCTGTCTGACATAGCAAACATAATATCGGCTGTTACGTAGAAAAGGATGCCCTCTAATCTTTCCTCAGAACGATTCGGAAAAAAGAACTCCAGTGATAAAATGCAAAATGAACGTGCGTTTGTATCTGACGTCATGACAGCACAGGGCTTTGTCTGTGCTCAGCAGCGTCACACACAGACCCAAAGCTCCGGATCTGCTGGACAGTGGCACACATGAAAATTCATGACAACCATCCAGAGTGTCGCACGGAACAGTGTTCGCGGCCCACAAAAGACCCCTGTGTGGATCAGGGGGCCCTCGCTCCGAGAAGACGGGGATGTGGTTTCGAGACGTTTTGCGTACAACAGTGATGCAAGTTCAAGTGGGAGGGAGGGAGATTGTACCTTTGTGGTTCTGGAGTTTGCATAAGGGGTTTCCATTTCTGCGGCCCGCCACCCTGTGAGGAGAAAACGAAACAAGACGTGAAATGTAAATGCGAGAATACTCATAAGGGTTTCTCCCCTCCATCCCAGCATGTCCTGGACACACCTGCTGCACAACTTCAGCACCAGGCAGAACGTTTGTTTTCATTTTTCTGAAAGTCTTCGAACCCTGGCGTAAACTGTGAGGCACCACAGCTGAAAATAAGAAATGCATGTCCGCCTTGGTGCTTGTTTTTTTTCTTTTCTTAGTGTATGCGTGACTAAGAGGAAAACCTCAGCTAACTTTGGCCCCGATATCACACCAAATCAGCAGCCCCGGAGCGCTCAAGCTGGTGACCTATCTGAAATCATTCCAAGGGGTTCACACAAACTCCACTCTATTCAAAGAAACACACAAGACACTGTGGTGAAGGCTGGGGTCACAATAACTGCATTGAGAGAAAAACCCGACTCAGTGGCAGGTTGGGCCCCTTCCCTACCTGGCTGTGTAAATAAGAAAAGTTTTCTGGTCCAGAAGCCCCCCAGTAAAAAAAAAAACAAAAAAACAAAAAAAGACTTAAACTTAAAAATGAGCCCACCTCTGTTCCGGCTCAATCATTTTCAAATGTTACTCTCATGAAAGCCCACTTTGTGCCACAGTCTCACAGCCTGGTAAAATGTTGCTTTCTTTATGTCCTAACACTTACAGAATTGTCCCGCACTCTCCTCAATGAGAGCATTTATTCCCAGATACCCACAGAGACCCACGGGGGAGGCTCGACAGGACCACCCCCCCCCCTCTCCCTCACACTCCCCAAGCGTGCACAATGCAGTGTTGTGGCCTCCAACTCTTGTTCCTGCACGCTGGCAGTGTGTCCCTCTACTGTACTCTGCCTGCCACACGCTGACTGCATGGAAAGCAGGCCTAATTCCCCCTGAGATGCTTCCTGCTTTGCAAGACACCTAAAATTTTCAGAAGTGGGTTGAAATAGATTTGGTAGAGGAACAGTCTCGAAAATGTGCTGACGAACCACTTGAAATGCATTATGCAACACAGACTGAATGTGGTGTCATTCCTGACCATCAGACCGGAGAAGAAGTGCTATTAGGTCAAAGGGACTTAACTTCCCATGTAGACTTAGCTGATGTACATCTTAAGGAACCCATATACATTTCTTCTCAACAACATTTGTAAAGTTCCATTTAAAGTCTTGCTTCTCATTGCATTTCAATCCAAACACCTAAACTGGCATATGAAGAGTGTGAGTGTGTTTGTGTGTGCGTGTGTGTGTGTGTGTGAGAGAGAGAGAGAAAGAGGGGAAAGGGGGGGGGTCCACACTTGTAGCATTAACTGCTGTTTGGGATGCCTTCTGCAAACAAAGTGTTTTAAGAGTTTGGCAACTGCCAACAGTAGTTTTCAAAGATTATTAGGGTCACAGTGGACACACTGATAAACAGCTGATAGGTTAAAGTCTAACTTTAAAAAGAAACTAAGATATTCAGTTCAAAACAGATAACGCATGACCTTCTTAAGTGTTCAATACGGTCAATGATAGCTTAAACCTGTCATTAAGTCGTTTTAGCTTAACTTGAAAACAAAACCACTGGAAAAAAACGAGAGCTTAATAAAGCTACAGGTACATTTCTCACCTTTTTGAAGTTTCTGGGCAGCGTCCCGCCGGAGTATGCCAGTGTCTTGTAGTTATAAACCTCCGTGGAGTTTGTCGGCATGTCCACAGTCCGGCAGCTGTCTGACTTTGACGAAGGGAAATAAATGTCGTCCTGAGAAGCGGGTCCGCTCTCCGGCCCGTTGGAGTTCACCTTCTTTAGTCTCCTGAACGTCATGGCTGTTCAAAATGAAAGCTAAAACTATGTCGCTGTTCTCGAAACACGCCGTGGGAGGACTCTGCCGCCGCGGACCGCGCAGTCTACCAAAGTTTGAGCCTCAGCGTGGAGCTGTGAGCGGGTCGCCCGCGCGAGGGCCGCCTCTCATTACGCCGGAGGCGGGGAATTGTTCGTGAAGGACGCACGCGGGTGCCAATAACAGTGATGACGTAGAGTCCTCTAAGGTGTTTTCACGGGCGGCTCGGGAGTTACTGTTTCAAAGCAACAATGACGCATTTCATTTAGAAAATGATTGATATGGGTTCGACAAATAGGCGACTGAATTACAACTCTGTGGACTTGAATCTGGATTAATAATGAGTCATTCCCTAGGAAAATAAATTCCCCAAGATACTTTCTTTGTATTTAATATGTAAATATGCTAAATTTCCTCCTTCGCAATAAAAATAAGCTACATTCTCAACTGTAATCATCAAGGATTACTCCTATGTGCCACTCACCTCATTGATTTAATCACGTTTACTGTGTACTGTGTTTGAATACCACAGGGAAACGTGAGCACCAGCAAGTAACTGATTATCCACCTCATTTCTTATTCTTTAATTTTCAAACGAATATATTTCAATAGTTTGTCTAAAAAATATTGGATCTTATTCATGTCTACATATATTTATCTTAAAACTGTCGATGGAAAATAGTTCTTACTTCATTATGAGAAGCCAATTTTGTTTTTGCAATATTCAAATATTTGTTTAAAAGCTTTAAAACAAAGGCGTAAGCACTATTTTGACCGACGTCATGTAAAGGCAGCATTGTTGCATGAACAACAAAAACTTTGTTTTCGTATTTTTAATCAGAAGTATTCTGCAGGAAAGTGATTAGGTAGTGAAGTAAAAAGCTGCGGAGACAGCTTTGAGACAGTGTCTGTAACCTACCACACGGAGACGCTTAACTTTGAAAAAATTACAACAAAAACTGAAATCCAGAAGATTTATTAAAATCTTTACATACCCAGTTACTTCAGGCATTTTACATTTACATCCTCAAGATATTTCTAAATGATATGAGTGATAACGCATTTAAATAAAGATTACATTCAATTAAAGCAGTAAGAATTAATAGTTTTAAATTCTACTCATTCAAAGTTCACACAAGAGGTGAACACTCATTTTACTGCTCTTGGGAGTGTAGCTCTCACCTAAAACACATGCACACGCACAAACCGAAATTGGTCCACAAAAAAGCTCAAAAGACTTTCATAAACACACTCACACCAAGGAACAGTTGACGTTATTTTTCTGTTCCCCAAAACACTTTCAAGTATCATCTGAAATAAGTGGAAAAAAACTAAGAAAATTAGCCTGAATTCAAAATGTAGCTTTGCCTTTACTTTTCTCTTGGCTCTGATATAACCTGAATATCTATCCATCTGGCTTTTAAAGCGTATTTACAGGCATATCAAAACAATACTACATGGTTTACGCTCAAAGTGTGTAGTGCACAGCGGTCTGAATATTTTCTAAATCACCATAACTAGAGTCAACATGTCATAAAAGGCAGATAATATTCTTTTAGCGTGACATTTAACTGACTTTAACCTTACTTCAGGTTTCTACAGAGCTTACTGTGAAAGAGGACCAATTAAAAACAATGAGAATATTTTAGTAAAATCCTTTTGCCACAATGCAAACATGTTTTACACTTAAGTTTGTTTTCATACAATGCCATGCTTCGTTTACATGTTGTAAAGACTTTGAAATAGTTAATTTTTCTGTTATGATGTCAATTATAAACAACATATACATTAAAACATTTTTTAGAGAGAAAATGGTCAGTTTGTCATATACAATTGACATTATGTCATGCGTTACGTCAGGTTGTTTTACTTGTTGAAAAAACCTGTTTTGGCCTGAGGAGCCATCAGCATAGAGGCTTGATTCTTGTGTGTGATGTGAATCTGAAATGAAAAGATGTAGAAAACATGTGAGTTTAACCGGAATTAACTAATTCCTTTGCTAAAACTGCTGGGATGTTGCTGTGCCTGCTGTATTTACCGTGCAGGGGGGCTGCATCCACGGCTCGCCATCAATCTGCATTGGTAAAGCTTTCTTTGTCCTGGTGGATTAGCAAAATGCATCGGGCATTAAAATTCTAACGTGTGTTTGAGACACTAAAAGGTCTGTTGGTCTATAAGCCATTTGTCAATGAATGCTTTTGGGTAACGTAAACAAAAAGCCGTCGTCAGACCATGTTTGTTACGTCTAAACATATTTCTTACCTGATGGTGATCTGTGAAGTCTTTGCAAGCCGCACGGCACTCTTGAGGCCAGTGTATATCTGACCCATCTCCATTGCTCCTTCGAGACCAACCACCTCTAAACGACGGTCACTGAGATCTGGTGGGAAGACATGCCCACAGTGATGCCAGAGAACACAGAAATACATACAGACAGACAAGGTGGCAGCCATTGTAGTTACAGCATCAGAGGTGATGTTACTTCAAATAGCCAGTAACCGTTTATGTAAAAGCATCACTTACTTATTTTACATTTAATATATTTGTCATAACGCTGACAATTCAAAGTGTAAGTGTGAAGTGGCTGATACACATTTATACATCTGAAGGGAATTGCAGGACAGCTTTCCACTAAATGTGTGTTCAGTATGAAAAGGCAAGTTGAAGCAAAGTCTTAAGGGACTCCTGTTTTTACTGTTTGTTTCTGCTGCCCTCTAGTGGTCAGAGATGATCAGTGAACTCAGGGACCTGTTTTCAAAGCAAAGAGTTTGTCACATGTGTACCAAGATTTAAAACCCTGCATGTTTGGGCTTAAATACCTTCCTAACCTTTGACTTTTTTTTATCTGCTGGACATTAGCATGTCCACCAAACAAAGCCAATGTCAACATTTATTTGTAGTCTGTTACCATTTCACTTATACTAGTGCAGCCTTGAAAAAAAAAATCACATTCACATTTTTAAAAACTGCATGAGCACATCTAAAAGACAGAACAACCAAAATCATCTGCTGTCCTTTTCAGGCATCCTCCACATCTAGCTTGTTCATGCTGCATTTTCAGAATGGATTCGAATGTTTAGATCCTTTGATGAAGACTCATTTGCTGAAATGTGCTTGGGGTTGACAGTATTGTAACTAAACATTTCTATTTAGTTACTGAAAGGTTCCTGTTTGCACACCCAAACAAAGGAAAATATATGATTTAGTTACAGTATTCTAAAGGATAATCATCTTTTCAGGGGGCTTTCCCCAACAGGAAATGTTTTGGTGAGCTGCCCGGGAAGACCTCAAAGGGTGCAGGGCATGATGCAAAACGTGCGCTGTGGGTTTCAGTGTTTATTTTTGCAGTGTACTACAGATGCTGTGGAAAGATTGTAGCGTATCCATAATAACGACTGCCTTTGTGGTGATATCGTCACCACATTTGACAAGTTTCCACAACACTGACAAACATCCAAAGCAGCAGAAAAGACTAAGAGGCAGTCACTGTTAGTAGGCTGTATTCACACATTTTAGGATCGTCTGGATAGAAATAATTAAGGGGGCTGGCAGGTAAAAAGCCTGGTGCATCTGCTTTGGAAACTTTTGTTTTTGCATGCAGCTGGTGAGAAAAAAAAGTCTTGCTGCAGACCATGACTGTCATTTAGTTTGATGTATATGGATTTCGACCTTTGAAGGGAATACAACAATTGTCTAATGGGCTCTGTATAACTCCCATATGACACAAAAGCCATACAACATAAAATGAAGCTAAAGTCATTGTCAAAGTACCTTGGGAAGTCACTTTCAAGGTCTCAGGGTTGACGATCACCTCAGGCTCTTCCTGACTTGTCTGCCCCTTAGCATCAACTCTTTTGGTCTCACCCCATAAGTTGGAACCACCATGCATGCTTGGAATGTTAAGGACAGCCACCCCCTCCATAGACAGGCCACTGAGATCCAAAGGAGTGCCACAACACTTGAGGATGTACATCAGAATGCACAATAAGGAACAGAGAGAGAGAGAGAGAGAAAGATGAGCCTACTGTGCAGAAACCCACTTTTTTAGGTTAATTTCCAAATCATAATGCACATTTGTGCTGATAGCGTTCTCACCTCTATTGTCAGGCTCTCGTTCAGCTTCTTGCAGGAAGCAGAGATGGTTTCTGAGGTGGCAAATTCAAAATACCACAGCTTGTTCTTCATTCTGCAGTTACAAAACGGTGTGTCTTTAGGTTGAACTGTTTGGCATTCAAAGAGTGTTTTCTGTAGGAGGAAATACGAGTGCAAACACTTGCTGCCGCAAACACCTGCTGGCAACACCTGCATTTACTGTCTCAGCCGTTAAAAAGGCGACTAAACGTAGATATGACTTATAAAAGTCAAACTGCAATGTCCCTCACTGACAAATTATGAATAGGATAGCTTAATTTGTGCCTGTGTGTGTATTTCTGCTGTTCCCAACAATACAGCATACCTGCTGTTGAATTTCTGAGGATGTTTTTCCCTCATGGTGTGAAATCGGTGGGCAATGGAGGCATCCTACCAAGATAAAGCCATACAGCTTTCAGCAAACAGAAAACAAAACACTTCCCCTTGTGTCACATATTTCAGAGAAACTCACAACTCCAATGGAGAAGTAGTTGTTTATGATCTCATACGGCACTGGGTCACCCTCCTCCTGATTCTCATCTGTGATGACCTGCACACTCCAGCGGTCCATCAGCACCTCCGTGCTCACTTCGATATCTTTTAGAATGCGAATCAAACATTCTCCATCATAGCCTGTGAAGACACAGAGAACATAACTGAGCCCCTTCAGGCACACAAACGTTATACGAAGCAGTTTGGAGAACTAACGCTTTGCTGAGCTGCAACCATTTCATTTCTCACCTCCTCCCCAACGCAGACATCGAGCAAGGTCATTTCCTGTGCCCAGAGGAAGCACGCCGACAGGTGGCCGCACCAGCAGACTGGCTTTATCTGAAAAAGGAAAAAAATGTAGTTATAGCTTCTATATGCCAACAGCAAAGCATGGCATCACAACAAGCTCACCTATTGCATCTAGAATCCAGCCGACTGTGCCGTCTCCACCACAAACTAATATTCTATAGTCCTGCAGATTTCTGAAGAAGCTCAGTCTGAAAGAAATCGAATGGCCGTGAGAAAGAGGGGAAACAGAACTGATTATTCGCAATTTGGTGTAAAGTAACATACCCTGGTCCAGGACCACCATTTGAAAGGTTGTAAACCTGCCGTGGATTAAGCAAATACTGGAATTTACGCAGGATTCTGAAACGAATGAATAGTAATATTAACTGTGGAAATGTAACAAACACAAAAGCTTTTTTCCTGGACACCTTCCCCCTTGGCTCACCTTTCTCCTTGCTTGCCACCACTTTTAGGGTTGACAAACACTAGAAGAGGGTGGGTATTTGGCACAGGAACGATCTGCTCACGCATGAACATGATAGTTGGTAGAGTTACACAGATGAAACACATATAGAAACATTTAACCAACTTTTTTAAAGCTCTCAATCTGCAAAGAAAAGAAAAACGACCTGAAGCACTTGTCCATCGGGGGTTATATTGAGGTCACTCTCATCTGTAGAGCCAACAGAGCCATTCTTCACATTGTTTGGCCTCTCCTTTGGATACAAATACAATGGTATAAGTTAACCAGTAATATTATGATGGTTTATACTGCCTTTTGAGAAAAAAAAAAAAAATGTCTGCTCCATTTGTCAATCAAAATGCAAAACAGATATGAAGGTTTTTACCAACAACAAGAAGCAGCACTGGCTGATGGTATGTTCTGCGTTGGTGTGACAGGTGCTGTTTGTACTGCACATGTTGAGATGTGCCCGGGGATAATTCTGTACCTTTATAACAGGATATATTGCCCACGGAGGCAGGATATGGTCCCTGAGAGGCCCACAGGTACACTCTTTTGGCTCCTTGTCTGCACATTCATCATGAAGCTGGTTAACACAGGTAGGTGACATATTATATAAACTCGTAAAGCAGCCAAGACGGACAAAAGACTATTTCAGCTTGTAAATGGTCATATTTCAAAAGCTATATTTTGTTATTTGACATTTACAGAGCAACAAAATCAAATCATCTTATTAGTCAGATTTACAACAATCAGCCATAACATTCTGAAAACTTACATAATAGAAAAAACAAAACTCAATCATTTTAGCATGGATTCCATGTCACCTTTGAAGCCACACTGTGGTATCTGACACCAAACTGTCAGTTACAGAACTGTAACACACTTCGAGTTGAATGGGGAGGTCTCCACGAATTAGTTAGTCCAGCACATTCCACAGATCTTTGACTGGATTGAGTCAAATCAACACCTAAAACTTGTTATGTTTCTCAAAGTATTGCGGAACATTGTTTACTAAATAGCGGGACACATAATCCATCTGAAAGAGGCCACTGTTATCAGCTGACACGGTTTAGCACGGGCACCTCTGCTGGTATGCAGCTACACAGCCCCATGCACTCCAAGCTGTAATGAATCTGTGTTCTGACACTTTTCTATTGAAAAGGGCTTTATCTTTTTTAAACCACTTGCAGCAACAGCCGCCCAACTGAACTGCCGGCTTATTGTTTTTACTTCCTTGGAGCCCTTTTGTTTAAACCAGTGTGGACTGAGAGAACAGTGAGAGCAGCAGCTGTAGAAATATTGTGAACCGGTCAAAATATTATGAACCATCAAAGTTTAGGCTTATTCAAAAATCTAATTAAGATTAAATAGTTTCTGTTAATTGTTCTATGATTTGAATCAGGTGAGTCGAAGCAGGACAACATCTAAAACCTGCAGGATGGTGACTCTCGAGGACCCGAGTCTGAGACCTGATCGTGTTTTTATTTACTCCAACTGTCAGTGGTCATGAAGTTATGGCTGATTGGTCTAATTTTCTTAACTGTACGCACAGCATTAAAACATTAGAAACAATTACTTTCAAATAATTCTTTGAGGATTCATATTAAACTCCTTTTCAACTTAGATGCTTCCTTACCATCGTGTGGCACCACACGCAGTGTTTGCCGGTTAAGCCGTGGAGACTCTTGATCTTCTTTTGGCATCTATCACACTTCCTGGAATCACAGTTCCCACTCACCCAGTCATGTGCTGCAATCTGTAAATGTGGAAAATGAATCAAATGTAAAAGCATCAATATGAAGAAAAGATGACACAATATGCATTTTACTGGAAGTAACAATAACATACCCCTGTTTCCTTTTTTGACTTCACATAAGTCCTGGCGCACGGCGCTGGGTTCCTGTTGGCACACCGTCCATGGACTGTGTATTTACAGCCTGCACAAAATGTAGTTGTAATATGAATCTCAAGCAAAAACCGCAGTGAACTCAAATAAATAATTAAAGCAAAAGGGAATTGTTCTGTTTTCTCATGTGTCATGACCATTGAAGGACGTCACCGCAGTGTCGCCCCCCTCTGGTGGGTTCAGGTACTCACAGGTGCAACACAGGCCTTGCTTCCTCAAACCCAGCAGCATGTTGTGACACACGTTGCAGTACACAGGCTTGTTGAAATTTTTCATTCTCCAAAGGTGCTGACCGTCCCTTTGAGTCATCTGATTTTTGATGGCGATGCAAGGAAAGGAAGAAAAACATGGGCTCTGGTTTTCATTAATATTCCAACACGTTCCAATGTTGAACACAGAAAATTAACAAATAAGGATTTCTTTCCCCTTTTTTGAATGATGGATCTGCAAAATGAAAATGCTTATATGCATATAGAAATGCTGTGGTCAGGGAATGCATTTCAGCTGCTTTTTTCCGCACCCACTCATGACTAACAGTGCGTTAATGAGACTGCACGGTGTGCAGTAAATGGTGACTCTCCCCATCATGGCAGACTGAACAGAATCATAGATGCACAGCTACATTAACTGTAATCTTTACCAACGCAAGATTAAAAGGTTGCTTTCAAGCCATTTACAGAGCGACCAATTCTCTTATCCAGATTATACCCTGAAATTCTTTCAGATGAACATTTCCTGCAAAACAGGCTGGCCGCAACTGTGAGAGGACTTCTTGCAGCCCGGGCTTCAAATGTCCACTGGTGGTTACAAATAGCCTGAGGGGAAGTCCCCAGCATTGTTGCAGAGGCCAAACCCTGCGGCATGGTCTCATTTGTGGCTGAGATTGCCATGGTGTGCTGACTACATCTAACAGACGTCTAACTGTCTGTGAGTGGCTTTTGCATCCTGGGTGACACATTAATAATATACTTATGACATAAATCTGCTCAGTCCTTGGTTTAAGACGACCATTTTTATGAATAAAACCTGCATTAAAATGATTAATTTCTTTAGTCCAATGTAGTGCATTACCACTAAAAATGTATATTTTATGCAAGCACTTAGATGGTGCAGAGTAAGTGGAAAAACACTACAGTATTATGATGGTGCAGAGCTTGCATGAGGGGGGGATGACATTACCACACCCTGTAACACTGAGTCGGCATAAAGGCCCTCGGAAACAGGGAGGAGGAGGAGGAGGCAAAGGACAGAGGAGTGGCACCCAAGGCCAGAGTTACACAAGAGCAGTTACTGCCTGGTGAGACACCTGCTGTAAAAGTGAAAAATGCTTGAGCTGTGCTCTATGAAAAAAAAGTAACGTGTTACTTCACAGCACCTTCAAACCCAGCAGGACGAGCAAGGGAACGTTGTTCATGCCTCCCTCGACCCACTCCTCCAGAGACACTGTGCCACTGCTGTCTGCATCGATTGCTTTCATCATGTCCTTCAGAACCTGAAGAAACCAGTTTTTTTTTTATCATAACCCAATCAGCACACACCTTTATATCACTTATGAAGTATGAAGTGTCAGATGTATTCAATAACTTTTCAGGTGAGTGGATAATGCATGCTGAACAGTATCACCTGTAAAATTAGATTAGGAGGCTGTCTTGTACAAAGAATTGAGAAACATTTAACATCAGAGGTAAAAGCTTTTACAGAGTTTCATGTATATTTTGGGGACAATACCATTTTAGGACATTCTGGGACTTACTGGCTTGAGCTCTGACACATCCCAGTCAAGATATTCTGCAGCGTGCATCATCTGAAGGATAATCCGATCAACTTCCTGTTGACGACAAACAAACTCAGACAAAGCAGTGTGACAAAATGCTAATGTTATAGCTATCCTGTAAAGATTTCTGAAATAACTTACAGAGCTGTCAAGGACTCCATTCCCATCTCTGTCATAAAGCCTGAAAGCAACTAGAGAGAGAGGAAGGAAATGAAAGTGGAACAACCACAGCACCACTCATAATTCTGGGCAGAAAAGAAACAAAAGACTCACATTCTAGTTTGTCTCTGGGCTGGCCATCCTCCAGCAGAGAAAAGTAACATGAAACATCCTTGAGAAAGACCTCCTCTACAGGACAGAGAGTAGAAAAGGGAGAAGGCTTTGAACACTCTGGTTACCATATCTGCACGAACAGTGCTGAATGGGCATTTGGTGATAAATGAATGCACTCCTTAAAGGCCATAGCGTAAAGCGATAAGGGCCTGCTGCAAAGTGAAGGCAGCCCACTGAGTGAATACATGGTGTATAAATAATCTCACTAGTGCTGTCTTCCTGGGAGGGTTCAGAGTTTTGGAAGGAGCGGAAGAGTCTTTGGCAGAGATCCACAGGGAAGTCCTCCACTTCTAAATAAGTCTTCAGAAACAAACGAAAGCCCTCCTCATTGATGCACTGGAGGGAACAGAATGAATGGGATAGGCACATTTTGCTTTCAGTGGTTTTGGGAAATGTAAAATGAGCTTGCCGAACTATCTATTTGCAGTGTGCTTGTTAACTTCTGCATTTCTCCATGTCCCCTTGCCTAAAAAAGGAAGATAATAATCATAACCCTGATCATCGGAAAATTTTACACATGCTGTTGTATTTCTAAAAATACATAACATAAGCTCAACAGTTTGTGCATTGGCCATTGGAAAGTTTACAAGAGCCTAAGATTCTCCTCAGATATATTCAGGCCATGACACATAAGGAAAAATATTTCTCAAACTATTTTAAAACCATTGCAGGATTTTCATACAGCTGAGCCATAAAAAACAGCTTCTGATTCAAGTTTCCAGCCCAAACTCTTTAGCCAAAGGAGAGGGACTGGAATCACATCATAACATGCTGTATGGTTGGCGAGCAGTATTCCCTTGATACCAGTGAGCCACAAACCCATTTCATGTTGATATCATTCCATTTTCCTGGCTGATACCCTGCAGAGATGCCCTAGTAATACTCATAGACTCAAAGTAAAGGCAGCTAAGATATAAGAAAGCCAGATAGAGGGCAATGGAACCCATAAACTATCTGTAACCCATAACTTAATAGCACTGTCTTAGTTTGACGGTTTCCAGTTATTTATAGGTACATTTATGCTTTTCACCTGATAAGTTTGACGCAGCCAAATAATCAATTAAAAATAACCGCATTAGCTTCTTGCACAGATTAGTTGGCACTATAAGCCGTTGACGTACAGTATTGGAAAGATCTTTTTTCAATCACTTTTGTGCTTACACTGCACAGCTAAGTCACTCTTCAGCAAGGCCTTGCTGTGTGGGCAAATCTAAGGAGGCAATTTACATTTGCAGCCTCTCACAAATGCAACAGCTTAGTCAACATGATCGATAGCTTAGAATCTAATTAGGCAGGACCGGAAAATTAATAACTGCCCAATAGACATGAATCATGCTGCCATTTCACACTAAACAGCTGTGCTGAGAGCTATTATTTTACTCAGTTATGTGCCTTGTAGCCAACATATCTGTGAGTCATTCGTGGGGAAATGGACTTGACTGCCTGCTATTACCTCTCCGTGTCGATGCCGGGCCAGTCTCCCTTCAGCATCAAATTCTTTTAACACATCTTTCACCTTCAAGCTGCAGTCTGAAAGTTAAAAAAAAAGAAAGAAAAGAAGAAGAAACAACGTGGGTCGCTCACAAATGTTCGATTACTCTTGAGAGCATTTTAATCCACAATTTTGAAGATTTGAGCATTTCATTAAACGCAACATCAAAATGCATTTTGTCAAGCATCCAACAAAATACGAGCATGCTTAACTTGCAAAAAAAAGAAAAGAAAAGAAGAAGACACGGTAGACTACTGCTGCCTCTTCTAGGTATGAGAAACCATGAGCGAGTGAAAATGAGTGTGAGTGGGTGGAATTGTGTGTGGGGAGGGATGTTAAGCGCTGCAAAAGCTGCCCGCCCGCCCGCCTGCCTGTCTGTACTCACATTCAATGTACTGCTGAAGCTGGATAAAGTCGACAGGGTTCAGTTCCTTCACCTCTGGGTTTGTGGGGGTGGACATGGTGCCTGCTTCTGCGCTAACTGCCTGCATGTGTAAATACAGGCGAGAGAAACAGTGAGACGTAGACGGAGTGAAAAGAGAAGGTGGGTGCACAGTAGCCTGCTCCTTTGTAAAACATAAAAGCCTAGCTGCAAGCAAAAGATATCATCTTCCATCTCGCACTGCATAAAAATCCATAATTGTAGACACAAAGAACCAAAAACCAACGTGTGTGTTTTGGGGGAAAAGGAAAAAGTAAGTTATATGCACATCAACATTTTTTTTTCCACTTAAATATAAAAAATACTGCATACGATACTGAAATAAACTCAGGATACATGATTACATGACTGAAAGTAGGTCTGACAGAAATGATGTCAGTCTCCAATGATCAACGCTTCAACTCCAGGGATTCACTGCACCCAAAATCTGCTTCGTCATGCTCGCTACCCCATATCATCTTTAAGAAAATATGTATTTATTTGGTACAGAAGAGTGGAATGATGTGTTGTATCCCAGAGAAACGATCAAGAACTGTAAAGGTTACAAAAACCAAGCTGGCTTGCAACGGGGCCTCCCCTTTGAAGAAAAGGAACAGACTTGAATGTCATACAAGGCTTAAAGTAAACAAGATATCTAAACCTGTAAAACAGAGCCAGACTTGGGTCCAATGAAAATAATCTGACTGGTTTGTGCAGATGAAAGTCTCTGGGAAAGAAGAATGCTGTGAATGTTACAAACACTTTAACCTCCAGCATCCATTGCTGTTAAAACATAATGGAGGTAGGTTTCATAATGACAGGAAAACGAACCATCAAATATATCTCTCATTAATGATTGAGGAGAGAAGAATAAAGCTAATGGACAAGTAAAGGTTGCCATCCTGACATCCCTTAATAGCTGCTCTCTTAGAAGCATGTTAGTAAATTGTTCATTGGAAATCATCAGACTGATTGTTGAAACATTTATTGAATGCTAGCTGGAGTAAAAAAAAGTTCTTGGCAATAAATAGTACTTGAATGGACAATAGGAAGCTTCTTTAATGGACTGAGACACATTTCTGTACTGAATCTACACCACGTGATATTTTAGGATGAAATCATACATTCTCCTAAGTGTAAACATCCGCTAGGATGAGCAACACCAGTGCAGGTACTAATCTTTATTATAGTCTTTGACATGCAGCTGTTGGTGGCAAACCTCAGATTTTGACAGTGCTGAGTCCATGAACAATTTGTTTGACTGTGATAGTCACTTAACTGGCTAAATGCAGTTAGTACTGACTTTGTAGTATCACACCAGTAATATTTCTAAGCTGCTTCGCTAACAAAATAAATCAACTTTGTGTCTTGCTTGACAGTCACTTCCATGTTCCTTCCTTTCCCCTGCGGCATAAATGGCCAATGAAAATCATAAATGGAAAATCATGAAAAAGAAGTTCAAAATGTCTTCTAAAGGGTCATATCATCATTTAAATGGAAAGGTGGAAACAAGGAAAAGATTAAAGACAACTGAAAGACAGATCCTGAATAACACATTCCCAAAACCCAGAAGAAAATCTCCTTTTTAATACAAAACTGAAATTTCCAAGATAATGTTTGGACTTCAAAATGGAATGCAAGAGGGAACGAGCTCATAAACAACGTGATAAATGCTGTGTTCTAAAAGTGGAATAGTGAGTGATGCATACTGTCAGACCACTAATCACAAAATGAAAGCAGGTGGGGCTGAATGATGGTTTTTCGGCCAAGGCGACGAAAAGGCCCTCGCTGTGAAGGTGCTGCTCACACTTGGCCCCCTGCTTTTATCACACATTCGAGCCCAGCTGGTCCAGCGATCAGTGACAGCTGCCCGCACTGAGCAAACAATCACAACGCTCCAGCAACAAAGAGCGCACTGGGAAAAAGAAATGAAATAATCAGAAACAACATCAACTCCCTACATGTGATTTGGATCCATTTGCTCTCTTTGGACTCTCAAAGGTTCACCCTGTCCTCACTTAATTCCCTCAAAAGGTCAGCAGCGTTGCCTAGCACTTGTGTTTATGCAGCCAATCAGGTGGGCCAGGCCTGTATCGACAGCAAAGTGGCACATGAAGGAATCATGAAAAGCCACCTGCTACTGATCACCAGACAGCCTCAAACAGTTTATCCTGGAAATATTCTCCAGACTCCATTTTCAAACACTGTCTAAAAAAAGACTAAAAATAGGCTCCCGTGTTTATTTGCCAGCCCTCAACATTTGTTCTTTTCCTGCTTTTTATGCGTTCCAGAAAAGTTTACATAAAGAGCCTGATCATGCCTTATTTTGTATCCTTACCAAATGAGCATCATCATCATCATTATCATAATTGTCTGCTTCAACGTAATCTCGAGCCTATCTCAGTAATCCGATTCCTCGCTTCCTGATTAGATAATGATTTGCATGCACGATGCAGTGAGGTACTCGGGACCAGTCCGGGCTCAGAGAACAGGAAGATGCATTTTATATACTGAGAGGAGAGATGCAAAGTGTGATCACAGCCATTTGTATACCCTGTATGTATGCCCTGTATACATTATCATGGAGTATCTGATTGGAATCAGCTCTTTTAAGTTACTGATCCATAATGAGGATCAGTAACTTGCACGAGATGAGCCATATTTTAGGGAAGTGAGCAGCCGGATTTTTTTTGTCAACCAGAATTGATCTGTCCACACAATAAAAAAAAAATCTCTCTTCTCTACAGTGACACGGGAAAGTACCATAAAATGTGTCATGTGGGTAAGTTTGGGGTAATCACAAAAAGATATTAGGACCGAAAATCATGACAGGATGTAAAAATTCAAATCAACAAATAATCCAAACAAGAGGAATCATATTTCAGATTTAAGGGACAAGTCTAACTTGCAGAAAGTAAAACAACTAAAAACACTCTCTAGATTTAATGAGTCCCAATCCAAACCACACACGTAGAAGCACCACCAAATGTAAACTAATTACAAAGAAAAATGTCCTAAAGTCACAACTACACAGGCTCTCAAGTAGAGCAAAGCAAGTCCGCATGCACAGTTCCAAAGTGCCCCCAACAAACGAAGTAAGAAAAATTAGATTAACAACAAAATGAATAAAAATCTGCATTTACAACTTCAGACAGCATGAACCCCAGACTACAAACCACATGAACTGAAATACCATTTGGTATTTTATGTCCATGTATGTATGTATGTATTATGCATTATGAACCGCTGGGAAAAACTATGGCAATAATCAATTGAGCATATGGATGCAAGCAAGAATATCTTAAGAGGTTTCGGAAAGTGTGCCCTGTTCACAGGAGCCACTTTGGTTGTTTCCACTGAGAGAAAGCGCCTGCTCCTCCTTGTGATCACTACAGAGTAGAGGGGCACGGCCCGTATTCTGAACCGCCATTCAGAGCAGCTACAGTGTCATCAGTGGTTCTGTCAACAGGAGAACAGAGCAGCTAAATGCTGAAGTCGTATGCAATGGCCCATGAGAGCTTCACCCTCAACCCCATCAACTTGTGAAAATAAAAAACTGTTCGGAAACACTCACTTTTGCGTCCCTTTTGGAAACACTTAGTCACCCTGTAAACGATTAGGTTTGATGTCTTGATGAATGCACGCACAAACCTGCAACCTCTCGAAAAGAAGAATTTCAATGGCTTGCTGGGGATGACCTTTTTTCCATGAGGGCTAATGTTTGTGCAGGCTGCTACAGCGCCCACGCCTTGTGTCAAGGAAATCTGCTGTTTTGCAACACTCGCAGAGTGTAAGTCACCAACTCCGTCACGCTGTGGTTGGAAAAGACTGTTCAGAGTTTTTTTGTGAGGGAAGTCTATATAAAACCCTTCGGCATGTGTTGTTCTTCCGAAACTACAACAATGCATTATTTTCACATTGCATCAGATTAATATGGGGGGGGGCATGCTTGGTTGCTATGCAAAGTGTTTCCCTCCATCAGCTGCACACTGGTGACTAACACGTGGGAGGATCCATAGTCAGAAAGAAAGGTGGCCAGCTCAGGAAGGGGGTGCCCAGCCACTACCTGTCAGTCTTTCCCCTTTAGACGCGCATTTTCACATTTCCTCGGCCCACTAAGCCAAAGCACATGCTTCAAACTCCCCTTTGCATGTAGATACTAATATGGCTCATTTCATGAAAATTGGAGCACTCCCTTACTATAAATAAGACTGTTTGCTCAAGGGGTCACAGCGCAGGTTAAGCCTGAAATGACAACAGAGGAAAAAAAGGAACATCTCCATATTTAAGCATGCCTACAGCTCCAGGAAACCACTTCTTTTTCTGCTTTTAACATCTCCGTTTACTTTATTTTGTAGAAATACAACCCCCCAAAAAATTATATTACCCTGTTTATATAACTGATTGGATTTTCTGAATCATATTAAACACAGTCCTGGATAAGTGGATTTTTTAATTACAAACTGAGCTAAATTTAACTAAATCAAGAACATATCGGGCAAAGGAACAAACTATGTTATCAATGTATATACACAGCTGAGCGTGACCTATGAACTTTTCCAGAACTGTGTGGTGAACTGTACGGCTTTGCAAACATGGTGAGATGTTTGCAAAGTTCAGGTCTCCACAAACACAATAGGAACTAAAAATGCTACACAAGATGAACCTGAATTGTAAAATGACACAAAAAAGAGAGAAAAGAAGACATTCACCACTGCATGAATCACAGTATTCTTGGAAAATGTAGGCGAGGCTTTGTTCACTCCCAAACTTCAAAGAAGCGAGGACTGCCCATCACTGTGAGTTTAGATATGAATGTGACTTATATAACAGCCTTTCTGTGGAGGCAGTCTTGTAGAACAGCATGCTGCACTCAGACAGAGAGGGAAAAAAGCAACTAAAACCTGGCCAGACTTGAGAAGGAGTAGACTGTAAAAAAAACAACACTTTTTTGTTCCAGTGTTGCTCATTTAGAGGAGATCTCGCCTAGTGTGCCCACACATGTACCTATAACTGAAAATAAAACTAAATGAATCGTCATGTTTTCAAAGGGTTTTATTGGAAATGCCCTCTCGTGATCTTTTCCATACCTATCATTAATCTACTGATAAGCATTTGTCAGAAGGAAACATGCTATCTATTTGTTTTCTAATTCTACTTATTTTGAACTTTGAATGAAAATGACCCGATGACAAACGATCTATCGTGACAATTGTTGAATTGTGCGTTAAAGAATGCCACAATGGGTGCTCCGGGCCATGGTGATGATATGAGAAGGCTAAAAAAGAGGATACAATTTCTGTATTCAGACCAGTAAAACAATGTAAAAGCAAAAGGCTTTGGTGAGATTACACTTATTGGTCAAACTTCGCTACAAAAAAAGGCACCAAACAACAAAACATAGACACATTCAAAAAGTAATCCGAACTCTAGATAATTTTCAAATAAATTTCCCATGACGTCAAAACAACTAATGATTCCACATAAGCTACAGTAGGAATGCCTGTCCCTGAAAATACATGTGCAGCTACACCGAATTGATTCCTCAGAGACTCCCCCAGAAATGTTCTATTCATGACATAACAAACATCTGGGAACGCCAGAAAGTAAAACAAAAACAAAAACAAACAAAAAAAACGTGTTCCTTGGACTGAGGTCTCACTGAGGAGCACAAGTCAGATGTTGGGCCTTTCCTGAGTGCTTTGTTTTTCCATTGACACAAATGAAAGTCACACGAGTCATTTACTGTCAGAGGATGGTAAAAAAAAAAAAAAAAAGGAGCTGTGAGGAAACACTGACCTCAAAAGAGGAGCCAGTGCCCACCGACGCTCTGGAGCAGTGTGCATTGGTGGAGTTTTCTTTTCTTTCTTTCTTTTTTTTTTTAACTGTTGCCACTACACCATCCCCGTGTCCCACAACAAGTGAAATCACAGATGGTGTCAGGCAGATAAGGTCCAACCCCACGGGAGCAATAACCCGTTTTCTCTCCGCGTATTAGTGACTGATTAAGTTGTAAATTGTAAAGATAGTTGAACGCAAAAAAACCTTCCCCCCTCCTCCCAGTTCCAGCTTTCTCCTTCAGGCATTGCAATTCAGACATCCCTCTGTGCTCACCGGAGGGATTCCCGACTGGAACCTCGACAATGACAACTTGCGAAGAGAGCTGAAATGAAACGATGCCCGTTCGTTATCATTTCTGGAGCTCGGTGCAGCGCCGTGTGGCTTGTTGTTCTGCCGAGTGACGAGCTGTGTTGTCAATACACGGCAATGTGCAGAAGATATAGATGAAAATACATAAACAAGTGCGTGTTGTAGATACATTTCTTGTACATAACGCGGATACAAACGGTCACACAACATCCTCCTCGTGTATCTGACTGGTGTCGGACTGCTGCTAAAAAAACACGTTCAAAAGCCGCAAGGAAACTTGAACCAAAGCGAGTCCGGACACGTACCGCGCTCGTGAGTCGTTTACCTTTTTTTGCTCGGCTCCTCGCTGTTTTTTGAGACCGTCGCGTCGCAGCACTGCAGGTCGGTGAAATTCCTTTTATTTTTTTTGTGCGTGTTTTCGAGGCGGTGAAAAGGGAAAGCAGCCGTTCACTTCAAATGAAGGCGGCAGGTCGCTGGGAGTGGAGGACGCGAACTAGTGCGGGGCAGAGAGTGAGGGAGGGAGGAGAGGATTCCTCCTGTCAAGCTGAAGCACCGCCTCGGCCGCTCTCTGCACCCTCTCCTCGCCAGCCAATACACGACTGTTAACGGCGGTGCCTCGCGAGCCCCTCCGCGAGCCCGCAAAGTAACGCTCGTTAACGTCGCGCGGGCTGCTGCGGTCTCAATTGTTGTCCAGCTATCGGCGCGTCCTCGTACAGGAAATCGATGCGAGCTGCATTTCAAAGCTTCTAACGAACTAAACGGTGGAAGTGCTCTTCCAAACGTTTATATGGAGACGTGACCTAAAGATAGAGCACCGGAGTGGAATGTTTTATGCTAAATCGAAAACAAGTAGCCTATTCCCAGAATTTGACAGGCTCGAAATTAAAGTGCCTCAGACGTACCTCACATAATATTGACCAGAAGATAGCTCATTTATGAATATTAGGCCAGCATAAACGTAATTTAAAGACGGCCTTGACGTTTTAATAGTCGTTTACCGTTGTGATATAAAGTCCCATTTATTAAATGAAAAATACATAGTTTTGGCGTAATACAGTTATACCTCTCTATTTCACGGTTATCTTTTATTCTGAACTGCGCGCGACCTGTACGTGTACCGCGCGCATTGATAATCAGTAGCCAATCAGGAACGAGTATTAATTGGTTGCAAAGTATTTCATGTGTCAAGAAAATTATCATACTAAAAATTCAGGGTGAAATTATATTATCTCAAGATTAACGATATAACTCTAAGGATATAGATTGAACAAGAAAAATAATTAAACAAAAGATGAAAACTAAAAACAATATTTCAGAAAGTACAGATCATGCAATAACTGTAAAATCCATGAAGTAGTAACGTTCAGCAGTATATCTGCTATTTACTGTAAATTTCTCAAACAAATATTTGAGATGCAAATATCCATATTAGCTCAGCAATAAACCGAATAGTCACTGGATATTTGACAGTTCAGCAGAGTTTAAGAGCTGTTAAAATCACATACGCATCAGCCATGACATCCTCCCAAATAATTTTTATAATGCTGGCAATCCTGGCTCTACATTTGCATAAAGGCGCTAATTGCTCCATTTAGGTCTGACACCAGTTCATGAGAATATTAGTGTGTGAGAACTGTACACTATCTAGCAAACATCAACATCACATGATGATGTGCCAGACAATAACTGAGCCACAGTATTTTGGTAAAGCACATTCCGCTGATCACAGTGTCCAGGGATTAGGCTGCACAATGAGGACGAAGCTGGTAGAGGAGGATAACAGACATGAAGAGCGTGTGGGTGTCTGGGTTAGACGGTAAAACGGAGAGTGAGTCAGGCCAGACCTTTCTATGTCTGAGCTTCTCTCCTCTTTCTGCTTTCATAAACCAGATCAGCACCTCTTCACACTTAACATCTTCTCCTCGACACCCTCTCAGTCTGGTGACTCAAACCTCTAAATGATGTATTCGTCTCATATGGCCTTAAAAGGGAACTCCATGCAGCTCTCTGGTGACTTGCTGTGGTAATAAAAAGGAACTGCTTTCCCTCTCCTCCTAATTCTGATTCGAAATCTAAACTGGAGTCACTTTAATGAAAAAACATCCATAAATTCAGGATGACGTTTTATTACTTTCTTGCCTGTACAACGCAATACATAACGCAGTACATAAACAGACAAAACAAAAATATTAACAAAAGGGAAATAGCAAAGGGCACAAGCAGCTTGTGTGGGCTTCAACACCATCAGCTGAAATTTTGTGTCTTACCACATCAAAAGGTCTCCAATAGTAAAGGATTTTATCAAAAGTTTTAAGAGTGATTTCACAAATATTTGTACAATCTCTAAACGGTGTTTTGTGTCAATGAAAAGGTCTCAACTCCGAGGAGCTAGGTTAGTCTACATTTGAGACCATGGTGTGTACCCCTCAATTTTAATGGAAACCATTTGGATTTGTAAAATTATGACAAAGTGAAATCCAAAAGCTCATCTTTTAACACTTCAACTGGACCTAACATAGAGACTTTATGTACAATCGAGGCAACGAAGAAAACATGGAATCATCTTTTTTCTTGCTATAAACTTCTTCAAATGTGCCCAAAAGGCAGATTTCCATGTATCAAATGATAACAATTTCAAGCGTGTTCGTAAAAAGGCAACACAATAAATAAAGATAACAAAACAAAAACAAGTGGCACATAAGGTTTTGAACAATCTAAAAACTAAGAAGCACAATGTCTTTTGGAATATTCATGGGGAACTACATACCAAAGCAAGAACGCGAGGAAAAGAAAGAAGAAAAAGTCTTCAGTTTGCACCCTTCCAGGCAGTAGCTCAGGCTCACTAAACAGAACTAAAATAAAGGAAGCACAATCTAATTACAGTGACAAGTATGACATTTATGATTCAATATAGTATTTGTATTTACAAGCATTTATACAACTCAGGGTTTTAAATTGGGGATTCAAGCTTATTACTTTTTCAGGAGCAGAACAATCAGATAATATAATGCACTAAATATAAACCTTGTAAACATCACATCTCAACTTTTATGTTAGACATCAGTCAGATTATGTTTATATTTGCCAGGTTCATAAAGTATTCGTCCTTACTTTAAGGCATAGGTATCGAGCTTAGGAGTCAACCTAAGTTTTATTTTAAATAAGCCAGATTTCTTTTCTTACAGCTTTCCCTTCAAAGAGGAAAAAACCTCTCTTTCACTTTAAGTGAAAGAAGAAAGAAAAAGAAAGACATCCCCACTTTGTCTCTGGATCTGCGCGGCGAGCTGCAGTTATAAGATCTCCTCCACTCCGTGCGCAAAGATCATGACGAGGCCGGGCTCCAGAATCATGTCCTCCCCCATATGCTGATTTTCACAGGCCATCACCACCACCGCCTGTTTGCCAGGAATGCGCTTGGCAACGTAGTTCTCGTAGTAGCGCCTGTTCATTTGCCGAGTCTCTAGGGTGGCCAGTCCCTGAGGCCAGTTCCGCTCGTGGGCGTTCTCGATCAGGTCGTTCACAATCGAGAGGGGGCAGCCGCTGTCGATGAGGGAGCGCTTGATAACCGCCTGGAGCACCGCATCGGGAGTGGAGATCATGCCCCCCCAGCGCGTCACTCTGGCTGGCTGCATGGAATTCACCCACCTGAATTCCCAACAAATGTGAGAGGGAGAAGAAAAAACAGATCACAACTAATTTAGGAAGTGGGTTCATTTTTAGTTTTTTTATGGCGAGAGATGGGAAACTTCACTTACTCCAGGATCTCGTTGTACTCTATGCTTTCCTCAAGGTTCTGCAGGTTAGGGTTTGCGCTGCGGATCGCCCTCATGTAGGCTTTTAGCAGCTGAATGTCTCTTTTCTGGTGAAAAACAGCCACAGTCAGCAACAGAAAAAAAAATCTTTTCATAAAGATTTCAGCAAACAGCATTAATTAGGACTGCACAGAGGGATTTCCCTTATTTTCCCCTTAATGCATCCACATATAGGTCTTACTTGTTCCCCCAATTGGTGCTTATGTTCAGCCACCGTTTTCTCCAGCTCTGATATCTTAGTTTGCTGCTGTTGGACGACACTTCGCAAGTGTTTGATACAATTGTGGTTGGACAGCTCGTCTTTGGGCATTTCAAGCCTGTATAAAAAAAAAACAGCGGGAGGTGGATATTTCAAAATCTTCATATTTTAAATATTTCAAAGCCGATACAATTCAAGGTTTCGTGCACTCACCCACATCCCTCCTCGCAGTTGACGGGCCTCTTGGGGTTGTGCTCGCAGTCCTTGAGGTGCGACTGCAGCTGGTCCAACCGCAGCGTGGCCGTGCAGCCGAAGCCTGCGTTGTCGCAGCTGATCTGGAGTTTGGACAGCATGTTGCGCATGATGCGGGGCACGGGCCGGAGGTGGGCCAGCGTCACCACGGTGCGGTCGACGGGGCAGATCTGCTGCTGGGCGAACCACTGCGTTATGCAGGCGTTGCAGAAGGCATGCTCACAGTGTGGAGCCTGAAAATGAAAACACACAACTCCACGGCTCAGAAACAGAAACAAGTTGGGAACTGTATAAGGAAAAAAACCCCAACACCCAAAGACACTTGAAATTCACAGAGCAAATAAGACGCTAAGCATTTGAAACAGACTTGCCTGCACCGGTTCTTCTAGCACTCCACTACATATAGGACACAGCAGGTCTTCATCCACCTCACCCTGGAACCTTGTAACGTCGTACCCCATGGTACACCACCCTCAACCTCCTGAATACCGATTTAAAAAAAAAACAAAAAAAAACAATGGCGATGTCACTGCACTGTAGATATGGTGGGTATAAATATACTTCACCAAAGTAATTATCACACAGCCCCATAGGGAGGCATCTGACAGGTCCAAGAATAACACCAATGGACGTTTACAACCTCAATTCAGCATCCAACATCCGGTGACTGTATTTATCAAATCACTTCAGTAACTTGAGGAACAGACAGCTGTGCGACAAGCTCTGTTTGGTTGGAAAAACCTAAGATGCAAGATTTTACTGCATACTTGTTTTAGTGGTCTTATTTTTAGCTAATTAAATTCCAACTCATTACTTGCAAGGACTTCAGACAAAAACTGCTCCTGTAAGCGTTGGACCAGGTAGCGCAAATGCAGCAGTACATCATTGTGTCAGAGCAGTTTTTCTTTTAGCAACAGTTAGGAGAATGAAGTAAATGAGATTGAGCTCGTACTGTGAAAGAGACTTGGCTCCATAACAGCTCAATGGATGAGCCAATTTCTGTGCTGAAAGAAGAGCAGTCCAGCGGCTCCGTCTGCGTAAAGTCCGTGCTTTGATCTGCAGGACAATGGTCCCCCCCCCCCAAGGTACAGACTGTGTTTGCGTACATTATTACCAACTTCAGGGACTATTTTCTTTTTCACTTTAACGTGAAATCTTGTCTTGACAAGTAGATCAAATATTGTAAACTGTTGATTGGCGCAGTTTGCACTTACAAATTTGCCCAAACATTCTGGACAAGAGGTGGAAAAAAAGCACAAAGACCAATGATGGAAAGCACAAAATGTTTGCTCAGATCCCAGAAAAGAATAAAAGTAAGGCCTACCTCACATGCAAAAGGCCTCAAATATTTCCATTCAGCTTTTGATTTACTGATCTGTCTGAAGAAGAAGACAGACACAGCCTGCAAAAAATATATAAAAATGTAGCATGAAATATTAAAAGTGTTTAAGTTAATATACTATGTTACACAATAAGTAATAAAATGTACATCGATATTGAATATATTTAGCCTTGTTAACAGATTGCCAAATATGTTATCGCATAAAAGACACAACCCTGTTGTTAAATAGCCCAAAATCGATTCGAAGTTCTGTGATTTTTCAAATGCCAGGTCGTCTGTTCGTGGGTATACAAACAATATCCAGGATCCTGGATCCTGTTGTGCTAGCAGAATCGTGGTTGGCCTACTTTCAGTTAAAGCAGCATTCATCCTTTTGGATGCGCTTTATAAACATTTTATTGAGAACCGTCCTCAGCACTGGTCGTAAAAAAAAAAGTTAGCCAAGCCTCAGTGCTAATGTTGGCTACCTGTGCGCCATTTCTCCTATTACTATCAATCAATGTATGGATTAAAATCAATCAAGCTGGAGTTATAGTGAAAAATATCATCACGCAAGAGTGTGGATATCACAAACGCCTGGTTGTCACGATACACATAGCTCAGGCTTGCTAACTGGTTAGCAACAACGCTACCGCTGGTTTTCTCAAGGTGTTAGCTGCCGAGCTACCCAGACAGAGCTCCGCCAGGAAAAATAAACCCACAATAGCGGTTCACCTTCAAGTACAATATAACCGGATATCACAAGTAACTGGTATACTTACTTAGGCATGAAGTGAAACGGATTTTTATAAATATTTGGAGGTATTTTCGGGTAGTCGTCACGTCACTAGCAACTTGCTAGCCACGTCCTGCTACATCCTACACATCAGCGTCAGTGATATGAAAGCGGATGAAGACGTCATGACGTACAGCAGCTTTTCATTGGTCCATCAGAAGGATCTGTCCGTACTGTACTTCTCAAACCGACGTTGATTAACATCCACGTATTCGGTGAGATGTCAAATGATAAATTGTTACATGTTGGCCAAAATATTTAAAAATTAAACGTGGAATCAATATATAAGATCAATACATGCTCGTATATCAGTTTATGGAACTGTGCAATTTTGGCAACATGTTTGTAACTAAGTTGAATTTTTTCGTTTTCATTCGGTGACCTTTCAGGAGAACTCTCTGTGACAGAAGGCAAAGAGGAAGGAAATGAACAGAAGTCACCACACAGAGAAAATACACTCCATGCAGAGAGAGTAACAGAAGGAAGGCCAAACATGACTGATGAGTCACTACTCATGGATCCGACACAAGTTAGATCACCAAAATGTGTCAGTGGTGTTGCTGTGTTCAAAGTTAAATCCAATCCAAATCACTGAGACAAAGGAGTTTTTTCTCTATCACTTTTCTTATCTTATTTTTGTGGTGGTTGTGTTCTCTCAAAACAGTGTAATACAACGTGTGTTGTGTGACCATGTGTATTTCCATCCATCCTTTTTTTTTATTCGCTCACCTTGCCACCTATTCCAACTCAGGGTGGGCTGGAGTCCATCCCAGCTGTCCCTGGGTGAGAGGTGGAATAAAACCTGGACAAGTCATCATTCCATCAGATAGAGAGAAGACAAAACATTTTCTAAAAATCAGGTACCGTCATACTCACTTAGGATAAATGTAGAGTAACTGATCAACCTGAATATACATGTTTATAGAATGTGGGTGGAAGCTGGCATACACGGAGAGGAACATGCTGACAGGCTCCCAGCCAGGATCAGAACCAGCACCCCAATGCTGCGAGGGATGGTGGTCCTGTCACTTCCTCTGGTTCCAGATTTCATCAATCCAAGCCATTATGCTCGAAGAAATATACAATATATAGTATAGCTTTGAAGCTTTTACCTTAGATCTCAAAACAGAGATCTTTTTCAAAATCTTTTTTTTAATTAGATTGGATGTCATTTTGTTTTTCCAGGATTTGCAAATAATTGCATTCCATTTTTAAATGCCCATTTTTTATACAACTCAAACTTTTAGAAAGGAAATTTGTGATTCCTAAAGGTTTATAAATGCAGTTGACTTAATACAAATGGAAGGAGACCCAAAATTGTTTATCACTTTTCCAAAAAACAAAAAAAATAAAACACTAGACAAAATGAATATTTAGCAATAGCACTTTATTGAACACAAACAACCCTAAGCCACAATACTGAATGACAAGACCAATTGGCTGCAGCAAACATTTTATAAAATAGATTCAGATTTAATGTCACTAAATTATTTTTTTTTTCTTTTAACGTCAGAAAGACAGATGCAGGTTTTTCCAAAACAGTGAATGATCTTTTACATATTTAACATTTCTGTAACAAATCATCATTCACATGTTCACACAAAGGAATAACAAGGCAAAGTGCTTTCAGGATTGCATTGTTGAAAAAACAAAACAGAAACATGAATGGCTTGAGGTTTAGGTGAGACGGTGGGAGGGTGACGGGAGAGGGGTCAGTAAACCTCTAACCTTTCAC